GGGGGTAGAGGTGACAGTTGAGCAGGTGGTCATATGCTACCCACATGTCCGCTGTACACTAATGCAGAAGCTTCCAGCTGATGGGGGTCGATGGCTGGGTGCAGGTGATTTATTTTTTACCATTGGTGGTTGTCGGAGATGGAAATGAAATAAATCTATTTATTTTGATACAAAGATGCTGGTTGTATCTCAGTGGGTTTTTTCATGATGCAATGGGTTCTTTCAGTGAAAGCAAACATTATTCTGGAGTAGGATCAACTATTTTGTACAATTTAAATTATAGGAGGATATATTCTGCTCATTTTCAGGTTCTTAATTGAATTGTTTGTCTCTACTGTGACATGTTTCTATGCTTTAATTATCAAAAAGGTCTTTATTTTTCTCTTTTCACCCCATTTCTGAAACCAGAGCCCAGAATGCTCTTATTGGTTAGCTGGCCGGCTCTGTTTTGATGGTCTTCCTCAAGATGTGTCGGAAGTGTCCCGCCCATTAGCAAATCACGTACAATGTGTTGGAGTGCTAGGAGGTTTTTCAAGGTGGTAACATCCGTAACAAAGTGATATAACTATGTAACACTTGTACATAGGGGCGGGACATCTCTAAGCGGTTGACCAATCACAACAGAGCCGCTAATCAATGAGAGCAGACTGGGCTCTGGTTTCAGACAGAGGGTGAAAAGAGGTGCTGCAGCACAGGCAGTATGAGAAAAATAAATACCTTTTTGAACATTAAAAGCATGTAAACATGTCTCAGTAGAGGCACAAAATAAAAAAATGAACCTGATAATTAGCATATAGGGTAATTTTAAGAACTAATGAGCACACACAGGCGAAAACTACTTTAAAAATAATTTAGCACCTAGCTTGAAAACTATTTACAAGCAATAGAAAGCTAAAAACCTCTTGTGTATTTGGTACTGAAATGATGACAGTGGAACAGGATTGAAAAGGTGTAATGTCAGATCTGAATACTGACATTACATGGCTTATAGGAATACTAAAAGGATATTAACATATTTTATATTATTACATCTTTCTTTGACTCTAGCTGAGATTTCACTAACAAACCTATATTTCGTTTAACCTCACTCACTTTTTAATTATTTGATAATTCTCTGGAAATCAAAGAGCAAACATATCATCCATAACTTATGACAGCTGAATCAGCATTTCACCTTTAATTTAGGGACATCACAACATGGAGATCAGCCTCTCATGCAACAGAAGTATGAACGTAAATGAAACAGGTAGAGAGGATTAGATTTTCCAGAACAAATGAAAAGTGTTTTATCCTTGCTTCTCACCACCTGACACTTTTTCCTTCCGTTTCACTACAGCAGACAATTGCTGTGACCTTTAGAGGATGTGTACACTGCAGAGAAGAGAACAGAGATATGGTGGCTGTGACTGAGAGTCTCTTTGATGGAAGGTGAAGAGACGGCGGGGCGGCAAAAATGAGGAAAGGGAGAGGGGTTAGACAGAGAGAGAATCATCGTGTGTCTTTCCCACCTGATCACATGCACAGCGGGACATTTTGGTTCTGATATGTCACTTTATTCTCCCACCTTTGGGCTTTTGTCAAATAAGAGCAGAGTGCAAAGATACATAAAGGAGGAAAAACTGAAGATGTGGCCAATGCTGAGCTTTTAAGAGGACATATGAAACCAGAGCCCAGTCTGCTGTGATTGGTTAACTGGCTGGCTCTGTTGTGTTTGGTCAACCGCTTAGCGATGTGTAGGAAATGTCCCGCCCCTAAGCATATCACATACAATGTGTTGGTGAACTAGCCAATAGAAGCGTGATCATAACATAGTGATGTCACAAAAAGCAGAATAGGGCCTTTAATTTATCTAAAGACATTGAGGTTATTAGGTGAGGGTGTTCCTACAAAAAAAAACACGCACAAAGATGCTGTATAGTTCTACTTTTAAAAAAATAATTTAAAAAATAGAAATACAAAATTATATTTTAGCAATCGACTATACAAAAACATCATTTCAAATATAATGCTCCAAATAGTGTGGTTGGAAAACTGTAGGCCTTTTGCCTAACCCAAGATCAAACATTTCCATTATCCAAACTAAATCGTGTAATTTCTAGTATCATACAGTAACTCAAAATGTCCATCCATCCATCCATCCATCCATCTTCTCCCGCTTATCCGTGGTCGGGTCGCGGAGGTAGCAGTTCCAGCAGAGAGCCCCAAACTTTCTTTTCCCTGGCCACATCAACCAGCTCTGACTGGGGGATCCCAAGGCGCTCCCAGGCCAGCGAAGATATATAATCCCTCCACCTGGTCCTAGGTCTACCCCTTGGTCTCTTCCCAGCTGGACGTGCCTGGAACACCTCCCTGGGGAGGCGCCCAGGTGGCATTCTAACTAGGTGCCCACCTGGGCGCCTCCCCAGGGAGGTGTTCCAGGCACGTCCAGCTGGGAAGAGACCAAGGGGTAGACCTAGGACCAGGTGGAGGNCTCTGGTTTGACTTCTCCTAGTTTCCACTTTCTTTTTGTTCTTAATTTGCTCCGTTACATTTTTCTTTTGCGACCAGTAGACGATGTTGAACCTAACTCTGCCATGGTGAAAGTGGCCGCCTGTTGCTGGCGAGTCATTGAAGTACTGCTGCAATGCACGCCCTATGACGGCACGCCCAATGACGGCACGAGATACATTTGCGCGTGCACGAGATGGAAGGCTGACAGACAGGGCGGCAATCCAATCCGTTTAGCCGGCGGCTTCCACAGATGGAATTTTTTTATTATTTTTTGTCAAAGCACTTCAGATATTCATTGCTATCGGGATGTTAAGAGCATTCCATGGAATATAACAAAAAGTGTATCTCGAGCCGGTTTCTCAAACTTACCTACCCCACCTTTAATAGTGATTACTGCATGCCAAACAAACAGATGCAAAAACAAAGAGATGTCAGGGGATTCAAAACAAAGTACAAATGAAATGAAGGATTACAAATCAATGCATGAACACAACAGAAACACAACTTTCAAGATCAAATGAAGCAGCAAACAAAGAATGATGAGTCTCTGAGACACACGTGCTATTGGGCAAACAATGCACACTGCTTGGGAATAACTGGAGTGTTATTTTCCACCAAGTACTTTTTTGAGGCGTAAAAATATTACTATCGTTTTTTTAAAGGCTGCAATGAAAACTTTGCTAAGCAAAATACAACTCCAATAAAATAAAAAAACTCATATTTATAAAAATAAAGTTGATTGAATTGAAAAAATTACTCTTTTAAACCAATAAATCCTTTTATTCAAATTGAGGATTTTGTTCAAGTAATTTTAGTTTCTTTTTTCAGAGGTGATGATGTCATGATACAGGAAAGACAGACCTCAAGAACAGCTTTAAATAAAAATAAAAAAGAAGGAAAGTACATTCCTAGTATCCTTTATTTCAATGGCATGCAGCTTCATGCAGATATGAATGAAAAAGCCAAGAGAAATTAGATCTGAAAAAACAAAAAGGAAGCATGGAGTGACGACGATGACACCGGAGTGAAGCTAACGCTAACGCTAACCTTCAGAGAGATACTGAGTGTCCGGCAGGCTGGTGTACGTGTGAATGTCGCTCTCTGAGCCCAGAAGAAGAAGAAGAAGAAGAAGCAAAAACCAGCGGAGGAGAAAGAGTTCGTTCGGGTTAGTTTGGAGAAAAAAAGTGTTAATCATTAGATTTTTCAGTTAAGTTCAAGAAAAACAATCAAGAAAAATAAAAAAACATGACGGAATCGTTTTCAGTCATTTGGATAGAAAAAGCAGAAACCTTTTAACTTTTTCTCATGGCAAGTCCAACAGCAGTACAACATATTAACAAACATACATGGAACATATTTATTTATATGTATCCGATTTGTATTTGTCTCACCTCCTGGACTCGACTCGTCTGTCAGAATCTGCATGCTGGAGATCCGAGACAGCTCCACCTCAAAGTGACTCTCGCCGTCCATGAACAAATACCTGGAGTTTGTTAAATAAATATATTTACACTTGAAATCCACATGTGATTCTTGTTTTGTATACTTCAAGAGAAATATCTGTTTACTTAAGATGTTGTTATCTTTGGCTCTTTGAATATCGCACATAAAATAAGGATTTTCAAAAAGCTGACCTGTGGTTGTTGGAGAGGCGACACATCATGGTTTCAGATTTCTCCGACGTTCCCAAAGTGGCGACAAAGGAGCCGCCTGAAATCAGAGGAACAAGTTCACATGTGGTAAACTTTAAAGACGGGAACATGTAGCTTCTGCAACACTGCAGTAAAATGAAGAAATATGTTTAAATTTGATACATTTATCTTTAAACCACTAACATATTTTACATTAAATGTTACATGCTTTTATCCAAAGCGACTTACATACTCAATACTGTGGGAAATCCCAACAGGAGCAATTTGGGTTGAAGTGTCTCAGGGACACAACGACATGCTGACTGCTGTGGGGTTTGAACCCGTGACCCCCTGATCCAAACACCTACAGACAACCCACTGCGCCACACGCCTCCATATTTAGATCTTTTATCTGACCTGTTTACTCTTCATTATGTTGTATTTTCATTGAATTGTTTGACACCACATAAATAACTAAAGTTCCCCTCTCTGCTGATCTATTGATAACTCCATGATCAATAAGGCATGAGGCTGACATGCTGCAGCTCCGGGCTGCTGATGGATTTTTTATCACAAGCTGCTGCTGCTGTGTATTTATAGCCTCTCAATGACCCACAACACCAACACAGTGCATTAGCAGGGCAGGAGAGTGGAGGGCACTCAGAAACATATTTCAGAGAGGGTTTTTATAGTATTTCTGCTTCCTGTATATGTTTAAACGGTAACCGCGTGTGTCATGTGACATGTTTCAGGTCAATGGGTCATAAAGTGAGAAAGCAAGCGGAGGAAAAAACAAAACACTAAATCACTGAGCTCTCCTCTAATGCTGTTTTTAAGTTACTTTTATTCGAGTTCACGAAAAAACATTAACTTTAAATTTAGACTTTTTTTATTTATACGCACATTTGAAACGGTAACTGAAACTTACTTAACAAACGGTCAGACTTTTCATTCTAATTTTTTCAGCATAAATAACAGCTGAACATTTTAGTGGATTGATCAATGAGATGGGGAATCTTTTGACAATTGATTGTCACTTGCAACTTAAAAATAAAAAATAAAATGTTGGTTTAAATTCAAAGAAGCTGTTTTAGTGTTTTACTTTGACTTGTATGACAGTTATAACTGGATGTTTTGAGGTTGTTGTTTTTTTTTTACAGCTGCTCAGATAAAACAAGCATTTAAAATATGAAACTTTGTATTGAAAGTATAATATACTATTTTCCTGCAATTATTTTTGATTAATTCAAATATTAATTAATTGATTAAATTCTTGTAAATAGCACGTGTTTTCTTGATTTGTATCACCACCTAAAAAATAAGTTTTCTTTTGAGTCCGCATACCATATTAAAATTGTAAAGTTTCTACCTTTCAAACCCTGACTGAAGGACACAGATACAAACTAATAATCTAAGGCTGGTCTTCTCACCTCCCAGAAGCACTTTGAGCTGCTTGTCGTAGAACTCCATCTCTTTCTGCGAGGCGAGGCTGCACTGAGCGCACTGCCGCACCGGATCCACGAAGCACATCCGGGCCAGCGCCACCTTCTTACTGCAGCACTTATCACAGAAACACCGGCCGCACCGCCGGCAGTGGTGCTGCAGGGACACGAGGAGACATTTGGTTTAAATGTTAAGAGAATGTCTAATATACTGTGCAAGTCACATTAAACCTGACACAAAAACATAACAAAGTGTGTTAAAACAACATATTATAGTTCTGATAAGTAGCAGGTTTAACAAAATAACTACATTGTGTCTCTGCCTTTTGACTAGGATCAAGTGTATAAAATAACTCCCTGTGCTGACTTCACATTAGGATGAAGCTATTATCCAGAGCAACTTGAAATAAGTTCCTTAATTATCCTTATTTTCATTTGGTTATTCAGTTCACTAATAAATGCATTAATTAATGCTTATATCTGCATCACAACACTTATTTCAGGGCGGAACTGAAGGTTCAATCAGATCAGACTTTGGACTTTGTAAAGTTGTCTTATACAGGAATGGAAAAGGAAAAATTGAAGATTCAAACTAAAATCACCTTTTAATTGTCATACAGTATATTGACATATATAATGAAAGTTAGAAGAACAAATGGAATACAAAAAAACAAATGTGTTCCTTTCTGTAGGAGTCTGACTGACGCAGACACAGGAGTTCTGTCAGCAGAAAGGGAAGAAATATCGAAATAACTGACGCTTTCCTGAGAAAATGTGAATCACTGACACTTATAAGAAACTGAGGTCATCTGATGATAGTGAAAGCAAACTAGAAAATGTTTAGTTAAACCTCTTCAGCTGTTGAAAGACACCAAGAGAACTATAAATGTAATTTAGACTTCTTTTTTATGGTTTAGTTCAAATGCAGACAGTAATAAAGGTTGCTACAAAGGTTTAAAAAGTATCAGCAAAAGACTTACTGAACTGATTTTGCTGTAAACAGAACGTTTTTTATGGAAAATATGGTAATGGAGATGTGGAAAAAGCAGAGGCACAGATAGAGTGTTATTATGTCAGTAGTTACAGGAAAAACAGTCACCACAGAGCCCTCAGTGTGCCAAAATAAATTAACAGAAGCCAAGTGGGGGAATAAAAACCCTTCACAGCACTTCACAAGCCTCATATTCTTATTTTGTATGTATTAGATTAAGCTGTGATTTGTTACCATGGCTGTGTTTGCAAAAACAAAAACAGACCTTTCTTCTGATGAAGTCAAACTTGGTGTCACACTGCATACATCTTGCACACTGGAAGACAGGAAAGAGGAAAAAAACAGGATGTTACACAACATGCTGAGCCATGCAGAATCAACTTTAACTGTTTTTTTAAAAGATGTCTTACCATTTAGTCATCAGCAAAACAAAAAAGTATTCTAACGATTATAACTCAATTTACAGATTTAAAAACATGTTTGAGACTTTTTACTTATACAATAATCAAAATGCAGGACTGTCACTCGCATAGTTTTGTTATTATTTTACATTTATACTTTAACGTCAATAAATAATTATAATTCTTATTCTAAATCAATTATAACCATGCATTGCCTCTTTTGTTTATTGTTTTAAAGATTTGAATACCTGAACACATTGCTGCTGTAACAAAATGATGTATCTATCTATCCATTTAAACACAGTTAATAGATTCATGTTTGGCACAACAATCAACAGCAAAGAGATAATTAACTTTATTGGCTGTGGTTCAATGTAAATCAGGTCAAAGTACCAGGGTTAACAGACAGTTGTTGTTTGTCTCTATTAACCTTTTGCAGTAGCTTTCACTGATAGAAAGCTACTAGCTTAGCAGGAGTTACACTTTGACTAGTGGGAACACACCCGTTAGCTAACAATCGAAACACGTGTGATTTCTAACTTTGATGATGATATAACTTCATAACTGGGGGTGAAAGCTTTTATTTGACATATAAACATCTGGTGATCTAACTGGGTGTGTTAGCTGCCAGGATGGCCGGGTTAAAGCACAGTCTCGGGGCCAACTGCGATGTCCAGCAGCCGTGCTAAGTTAGGCGCAGTTAGCATACAGGACACCGGGTAACTGGACGATTTACCTTCAAAATAAAGGCATAACCAAATAAGTTGGATAAAAACATTAACAAATATTATTGAACTACAATTCGGAAGTTTAGAAAGCTATGCTACAACGCATAACATAGTAAGGAACCATGTATATGTTTTTATTTAAGTATTCCCTCTCATTTTAATCTTGCTTCATCGTGTTCTCGGTGGTTAGGTTTGCAAACAAAGCGTTTATTTTGAAAATCTCAACCGGAAAAGCAGTGTTTAACATCAAGCTAGCTTCTCGCAGCTCCGATAGCTAATCGCTGTCAAACAAATCCTCCCCGCCTTGCCTCACCTCTTTATCGGGGACCCACTGCGGCTCGTTCAGGGAGAAGGGGCTGTGAAAGGCTCCGTTTTCGGGAACCATGCGCAGACCGCTGGGGCTCCGGACCAGTTTCTTTCCATCAGGCAGCGCAGACATTTTTGCTGCTACCAGCTGTTTCTCCTTCTGCCACAAACTCCTGTCTGGTACACACCCTCTGTGAATGACTGACAGGGGGTTTGACCAATGACAGCACAGAGCTGATATCACGTGGTGCGTTGGGTTCAGTGGAGGGTTTTGGTTTTTACAACGCCACCCAAAAGTCAAACAGGAATAAATTATAAAAATAATCAAAGGAATTTAAAAAACAAGACAAAATAAATGATACAAATTATAAATTCAATTAAAAAAAACACACCCAAAACATACTTTAAAAATAATACAATTAAAACTGAATTTAATACATTTATTATTATTTATAATCATTTTGTAGACCTGAAACAGTTTTCTTGGCTAATGCTATTTTATTAAAGTCCTTATATGTTTGTTTTTTTGTTCAATGACCGTATGTAACTACATTGTTATAATTATAGACGTTTTTATATAATACATCCCGAAAAAATCCTCCACTATTTGAGGCACACTAACTTTAACTTGCACACCATAATACATAGGCTAAACAAATCCCAGTAAAGCATCGTGAATTTGACTGTTTATTCAAATGCAGAGTGTGTAGGAGAATCAGTTTGCAGACAAACCTTTCCACAATTACAGAGACATTTGAAAGTAAAAACAACTCACATTTCAATATGTTGTTGTTATTAATCTCTAGACACCATAAAAGGAATACAGTTCTGTCTAAAACAATAAAAGCTTACACGTCTGTCAATTTCATCCAGGAACCTTTTCTGTACATGCAACATATACAGAGGGGGCGCTTTTGTTTCATATTTAACATGAAGGGCTGCAAAATAATTTCCTTTTACACACAAAAAAAACTTTCTGCAGGACAACTTAACATTAAATCTTGTATTTATTTAATCATTGTGCCCAGTTAAATGCAGATTTAGGAGCCCTGATGTCACTGTGTGAAGCGATGCATGAGGAAGATGCAGAAAAAAGGGTTTGTTTATTTTTCTGCAGACACATAACAAAATATCTTATTATAACCTTATTCATTCAATTGTTTTTTTGTTAATAAAACGTATATAAAACCTGAGACCTTACTGTTATCTTAACCGTTCACGTCACCGCTCCACACAACAACACGGTCCACAGACAGGGAGATGAAATAACACAAATAAAACTATAAGAAGAAGAAATAAAAAATGCAAAAAAAGGACACAAGAAACACAAAACTTTTCTTTGTTGGCTGCACTTCCATAAATCCATTCATTTACATTCACGTCATCAGAAATAGTCTTGTGTTTAACTTTTGATTCATAGTTTCTTTCACAGGGCAACAGTTTGAGCAACCTCTCTGACAAAACACTAAGCAACAGCTTTACTCAAACAGAGCATTATTATTAGCATGTATTATATATATATTACAGTATATATACATACAAATACATACAAACAAATATTAAAAGGAATATTTCTTTTTTATTTCGTAATTTTTATGTGAAATTGTAAAACACAACTTCAAAATCACTTCCAATCAGATTGTAACATGTGTCCAGTTTCAGTTTGCCATTCATCATATCATTATTAGACACTGGAAAGACACAATTAGTAATGATAAAATAAAACTATAATGTCATATAAAGTTTTCTTCTTGTAGTTTTCAGGAGAAACTCGGAATCACATATATTCCGTTTTTATGTTTTTGCCTTTCTATGCTTTCATATAAACCCACTTTGCATCTTGACCACAAATTCTAAACGTTTTATAGAAAATATAAACAATTCGTTATCACTTTGTTGCCAGTCGCTGCAAGTGTTGCCTGTCTAGATTTGCCTGTCTAGATTTGCCCAAAATGTGGCCCAGTTCCTCAAAACCATCCGACGTGTTTAGGTTATGTGCCTCGTTACTTTGTGGATCCTCTGACAATAAGAAGACTGATCAACAGTCTACTAGAAGCTTCAACACAGCTGACTCTGCGACGTCAAACAGATAAAATCACCGTTACAAAGAAAATAAAAATACACTTCATTCAGAACATTTGATTTTTAGCATTTTATAAAAATCACCGCGGCTTAGATTTAATTATTGCAGGCACAAAGGAAAAATTACCACAAATATTATTCATTTGATCAAATCAATTTCTTAGTTTTTTATTTACATTTCAGGGCTTCATTTTTTCAAGGAAAAAAATAGATTTATATAGTATAATATTTTTACTGAAAGCCTTCATTTAAATTCTTAAATTTTTTATTAAAGAATGGAATATATTTAATTAAATAAATGACAAATTACAGTTTTTCCAACAATAAAACCAAAGCTTCATATAACAATTAAAGTTAATTTGATCTCCAATACTTTAAAACAAATCCCCATACTATGCAGAGGTTCAAGATTTGATTTAGTCGGTACAATTATTATCTTTGATTTTTTTGTTATGTGTCCCAATCTCTCCAGTTAAAATCCCTTAACATTGATTGCGGACATTTTTTTTTACAAAAATCTGAATTTGAAGAAGAATTTAGTCAATTCAGCCTGATGGTGTTTTTTTGGAAACCTGACCCTTTTTTAAAGATGGACAAAGTCTAAATCTGTTCAGGGTCCACATTGTTTGGTTAAAGACAGAAATGTGTGTCTTGCAGATATAAAAAATAAGTATCAAAAGCTGGCAGATTATATATTTTATTTAATTATTCCAACAGCTTTTCTGGTGTTAGGGTTTGCAGCGTTTCATTGTCTTATAGGAAAATATATCAAATAACTTCTGCAGTTCTGCACAATTTACAACTTCATTTATGTGATGCAGAATCAACTTTGTTATTTATTGTCATGTATATTATTAGATTATTAAATTACTTGTAGTTTTAAATAAGACTTTGCATTTAAAAGTGTATCCCTAACATACGATGATATTTATCATTAAACCATAGCCTATCTATATTTACTATTTACAGGAGAAATACTCCCTCTTATTTTGGTAAAAGCAAATACATGTTTTTAATTTGCATCTTAAATCTCTATTTTAACTAAATTACACAATTTCTACTTTTTGGTTGTTGTTTTTTCCACTTGTTTTAAAGTGTTGTCTTGATTTAATACGAATATACCAGGAAGTAAAAATAAATGCTGTAACTTTTTCTCCGTTAAAGTGTAAAAGTGGGAGATCCTGAGAGCCTTTTTTATACAGGAAGATAGAAAGATAAACTCTTCAGAGCAGCGCGAGGACAGAATAACATAAAACATCATTTACAAAAATAAACCCAAATGTAAACGTAGACCTTCATACAGCAAAAGCAAAATCTTCTATCAGCGCAGGACAGAACATTTTAGGAGAGTCACTTTTCTAAAGAGTTGAGTTTTTCCTCCACAGGACTCCAACATTTGTGTTGAGGGAGAGAAACATATTTAAGATAACACAGGGATTTTAGCCTTTGCAGACCATTGACATGAACAGGAACCTACAGTATATAACACACTACAGGAAAAGGAAAACCCCAAAAGGCATAATAGGGCCTCTTTAATTAACCCAGTTCAGAACTTCATTTAGAAATCTGCAGATTGTAGTTTAGCGCTAAGCTAACGCAGCGCTAAGCTAACGTCCGGTTCAGCCTACAGAGAGACGTCATTGCTGGACTTTCTCTGCAGAGTGGCTGCAGCTTTACCAATTAAAAACATTGTTCTGTATCTCATTGCTTGAGTTAAATCTCAGTGGGTGAAGTTATATAAAGTATTTAATATTCCAAAGTTAATAACAAAGTTTCCTTAAGTTATGTATTTCCTGATTCCCTTATGAGCTCATTAGTGATATCACTTTCTGAAAACTGTGATAACAAATTCTAAAGCTGTGCTTAACAAAATTCATTCAACTTGATGAAGGTTTACAGACTGAAACTTCGTCAATGAATGAACTACAGTGAACTACAGGATGTTAAGAGTTATTTTTTCAATATTTCAAGTTCTTTCTGAGTTTTCGGCATATCCACTCTTGTAGGGGGAAATTAAAAAAGCACAAAAACAACAGCATGTGGAAGACACACGTGTAGCCATCTTGAGATAACAACATAATGAAAATTCAACAAAATATCAAGTGAATTTGACCCTTTATAGCATGGTTTGTTTAGGATTTAGGCTTCAGAGGTCGCAAAGCTAGTTCACCCACCTTGATTTAACTCGGGCCATTTATCAATGGGCTGTCAGAGAAATGTTTAACACTAAAGCTCCACTCTGCATCTGCCTATAAGCAAAAGCATTACATATTGAAAAAGGACACACACACA